TTTTTGAAGTCGGTAGAAAATTTATATAGATTCAAAATTTCATCGTTAGGGCCGTTTTCGAGGAATCAATTACAATAATTTATATTGAAGAATCGCTCTTTAATAATATAAAATTTAGTTTCTTATGAGAAAGCCTTTGATTCCGTCGAAATTTGGGCGGTGCTGCAGTCCCTTCAGCGGTGCCAAGTGGACTGTCGGTATATCGAAGTGCTGAAGTGCTTGTACAGTTGGGCTACGATGGCTATCCGAGTACAGAACCAGAGTACCCAGAGTACGAAACCTATCCAATTGCAGAGAGGTGTAAGACAGGGCGACGTCATATCCCCGAAACTCTTCACCCCTGCATTGGAAGACGTTTTCAAGCTACTGGACTGGAAAGGACACGGTATTAACGTCAATGGCGAGTACATCACTCTCCTTCAATTTGCGACGATATAGTCTTTATGGCAGAATCGCTGGAGGACCTAAGCACTATGCTCAATGACCTCAATAGTGCTTCTCAACGGATAGGTCTTAAGATGAACATGGACAAAACAAAGATTATGTTTAAGTCCATGTCACACCTATGCCGGTAGTTTTTGGGAACACTAAGCTCGAAGTTGTTGACGAGTATGTTTACCTGGGACAAATAGTCCGAATAGGTAAGTCCAACTTCGACCGAGAGGTCAATCGTCGGATTCAACTCGGCTGGGCAGCGTTCGGGAAGCTATGATACATCTTCTCGTCAGATATACCTCAAAACCTTAAAACGAAATTGTACAACCAGTGCGTGTTGCCAGTGATGACATACGGAACTGAGACGTGGTCCTTCACTGCTGGCCGGATGAGGAAGCTCAAGGTCGCTCAGTGAGCTATGGAGAGGGCTATACTCGGAGTTTCTCTGCGTGATAAACTCAGAAATGAGGATATCCGCAGTAGAACCAGAGTGACCGACATAGCCCAACGGATTAGTAAGCTGAAGTGGGAATGGGCCGGCCATACAGCTCGAGGAACCGACAACCGACGGGGAAGAAAGGTTCTCGAGTGGCAGCCTCGTACCGGCAGGCGAAATGTTGGGCGTCACCCCACTAGATGGAGTGACGACCTGGTAAGATATGCAGGAAGTTGATGGATGCAGGTGGCTCACGACCGTGCTTTGTGGCATTCCTTGGGGGAGGCCTATGTTCAGCAGTGGACTTGTGAAGGGCTGTAATGATGATGATAATGATGATGATGATGATGATGATGATGAGTAGATCAAGCTTTGAGTCGATGTTCTAATTAATTATGTTTATAATTAACAAAAAAGTATTGTTTCTTGCATTATACTTGTCGAATATCGATGATAGGTAAAATCATACACAAAACATACTCGTAAATACGAGTAAGTATCAATAATGTTTGAACAAACACACCTTTTACGTCGTCCATATATTGGATATGTTATGTAGAACAACAACATTCACTATCTTTTCAGTGTATTATATTAAATAATAGTTATGAGCTATGCCTCCTAATTAACCGTGTAGTTGCGGGGAAAGAACATCCACTACCCCATATTGTCCCGAGGTTGTCGTAAGAGGCGACAGAGGAAAACTGAAACGGGAGATGGGCAGCAGCATCTTTCTAATAACATTGAATTGTTTATAAAAAAACTGCGGTTGCCAACCGGCATAACAAGCGTGACATCTATGGCAAAATATATCCTCTATGAGGCAATCAATAGGGGAGGCCTATGTTCAGCAGTGGACTTTTATTTGTTGTAATGGATGAGCTATGCATAACAGTAAACTTCTCCAATGAGTTTTCAATACAACTGATGGATCTATACACAGTGTTCCTCAGTCGACAGTGAGATTACTGTCGAGTAAAGATTTCAATAGAAAGTAAGAACGTTTGCTGGTGTTCTGTTAGTAATACCTGAGGTAGGTGTCATCATCCAAGGATATTTTACATACCCAGAATAACCTATACAAATATCACGTACATACTCTATGTACTCGAAAATAGCAGGTGCCGAGCAGCGCGTTGGTATGGGACATGAGTGTTATTATTACTTTGAATTTATTTATTTATTATATTTGGCTGACCAACAGTGAGAACACTAAAAGTAATTACATACATCAACAATAATACTAAGTAAATGCCTTACTATTTACAGGTTAGCATAGCATGTACCACAATATAAAGTAAATAACAGTATATTATAAAACAAAATCAACAATTTAACAACAATACAGCAAAAAGATCTTATTCATCACTATTTTTTTTTTGTTTTTTTAAAAATTTATTGATAACAATATCGAGCACAGTCCTTTTAATTTTAGATACTGAGGTTGTGTTAATATCTAGCATAGTAGAATATGCCTCATATACCTTATAAAAACGAGATGTTGTTTTTTTTTATAGGATAGGGTGACAAACGAGCACACAGCCACCTGATGGTAAGTGGTCGCTGTGACCCATAGACATCTACATCTATCCTCAATAAAGAATGAAAATGCAGATGCGTTGTCACCCGTGAGGACTAAGATGGAACACCTCTTCTCCAGTAAAAAGGTTCGCCAGTTCTCTACACTCACCATACGAAACTCAGCAGTGTTAAGCTGCTATTTTACGCTAGTATTCTGTGAAAGCGTGGTCCCTCCCCCGTCGAGCCGACCCATTCGTGTTACAACTATACAATTATTATAACTGCAGCTTGGCTCTATCACATAAAACTTTGTATTAGAAGTATATTTAAAGGAATAACACATTACAAAAAATGAATATACTTAGTTATTCGTAAACGAATCCTATACGACAGTCACTGACTGTCGTATAGGAGCGGTAGTAACTGAATAAAAAAAATTGTGCGTGTAACTGTGTACACACGTACGAAGTGAAAACTCTTTACGATATATCATTCTTTTTTGTTTTATTTTTTACATAAGTGGGTACAATAACAGTATACACATGCAACCCCTGCGGTGAAACATTACAAGTAAACGTGAAGTTTTTGTTTTTTAATACCGTATTTAATTTCTCCACAATGTCGATAGAATAAAGAAGTTTCACTTCAATAACTTAATAAATCGATAACCGTACAAATGCGCACTGAATTGTTGGTTCATTCATGGTCGCGGGAGCCGAGAACAGACGCTAGGAAACACCACAGGCGACGAACAATCGTATAACACCAATTGTTTTTCGAATGCAATCGAACGGAACATTCATTAATTCGTTTGTTATTACTAACAATGGGGCACAAATAAAACGCCTTCAATATATCCAGCTGAATAGATATATTGAAGTAAGGATAAAATCATGTTACTATCCGCCATTTTGCCGCCGTTGCCACCCCGCTGGTTGTTGTGGATAAGAACGCTACTTGATAATTTCTGTTTACTTATCTACTCGTATGTTGCAAATTTCATTAAAAAAAGAAAAAACATAAAAACGTACATAGGTAATTTTATTTTTTAAAATACTTCTATTGAACAGGCCGCATCAAAGGAAACCGCTTTCGTTCTATGGCCAATTTATTGAAATGAAGGGCTTAAATGGGATTTTGCGGTCGCAGTATGTTGCTTTTGATATACACTGAAACGTATCGATCTAATTTCATATTTAGCTTGAAAGCTCAAATCACTATGACGCTTAGAGCTGAATTATGTCCTGTTTATTATACTTCCATTACTGTTAATGATATTTTTATGTATTAATTCTGGTTTTTTATTTATAATTCTTTTTGTTCAAATCGGTCAAGCTCAATGGAGACTAGTCTACTGAGGCTAGTGCATGAAAATCTCTATTGCCTCACTATCATAGTTCGAATGAACGACAATCTTACACGACCAGAGAGAGAGAGAGAGAGAGAGAGAGAGATAGAGGAGAGAGATCTGGTACATGACTTACGGCTTTATGTGCTTTCCAAACACCGCCAGCTTCTTGACTCCGGATCTCTGACTGAGAAGTTTTTCATAGAAAATCCCCATAAGGCCCGGCTCAGGATTTGAACGTATACGACTACTAAATCAACAAGGCAGTAGTTACTGATTAATAAGTAGTTTCACAACCCATAGTCATCTACAAGCTACTATAAACAACGAAGGTCCAAAATACATCGTCATCTCAGCGAACTGCCTCACATTCTTTAAGACATATTTTCTTCAAAATGAAAAACAGCTCTAACGCCAGTGCAGGGCACGCCAGTCGGCACAAATAGGTGTAAATAATATTGCTTATTGGTAAGTTAAAGATTAAATAAGTGTTCGTAATGATCCGTGGTAGCTCAGGTGCTATGCACTCGCTGTAAAGTTCACATCATCCGAGCAGCTCAATCTGGATTTGTTTCCAACCGGCACCAATGGAATTGTTAATTGCAATTTTAAATGTCCATTTACCACTTGCTTTGTAGTGAAAGAAAACATTGTGAGAAAACCTGCATAACTGAGAAATAAAAAAAATATTCCGATGTCATGTCAAGTCCGCCATCACGCATTGGGATAGCGCGGCATACAGTCTTATTGACAACTTACTATACTTTTGAAGTCGATTACTCAAAATAAAGAAACTACAAAATAAAGAATACTTAAATTATCTGATATAATTACCATATGTTAAGAAAAAAGGGAAGCAGACAATGGAAAGAAATAATAATATATGAGTGGATTAAAAGAGATATGTAGGTAGAAAATTAGTAATATACGGATAGACAGAATTACAAATACGTTTTCAGAGATTTTATATCACAGTTAGCTCTGATTTTGCATTCAAATGTAGCAAAAATAAGGTCACGTAAAAATTATGTACAGTTCAAGACGAACGTATCGAAAGTCATATTAGTTTAGTTCATAACATACGTGAAACGAGCAACCGGGTCGTTCTGTACAGCCCAAATCGTTGGGAAAACATAACGGTTCATTAGCCAAGCAAAGCCGTCGGCTCTAAGCCAACATTTCACATTTTATCTTGCACCGTATTCACACATCGACGGCTCTGTACGTTAGAAATACAAGAAAAAACAAACTGATCGAACGATGTTGCTGGCGTTTATTTTGCTCAATTTACTCTCAACATTTGCCGCCAGGGCGAACGAACGACAAAGAAGGTATCTCGTTTATCCGGACGGTGGGCCGGCTCGTACTCAGGTATTCCGTTTCTTTTTATTCTTTCAATGAATCCGTGAAAATTTACACAGCGTTGTTGATTTAAGCTTAAGTAAATTATGTTTCCTTTGCACTTTGTAACCGGCTTAATGAAGGAGTGCTTTTTTGTATCTTAGCGAATTCAAATACAATTTAGAGCGACTTAGAAAATAATCGTAGCCTTTACTGAAGTTAGTTTATTTATTTACTTAGATAGATTTTCATAAAAGTTTTCCGTAAACTTTACGTGTATAAAATAGAATAAATATACTGAATGTAAAAAGCACACAGCTAACAGTGCCATGGAAACGAAAATATTTAGCCGTCGTAACCTCTTCATATAGTTATATATATACGAGTACATATATGTACCATGGTAAAGATTTTTTTTAAATTTATTTATCTTTTAAAGCAACATACCTTTAACTAGGGCTTACAAAGGGTGGACTTAAAGCCCTGCGGGATTCCGTATGTAATAGATAAAGATGTTGGTTGATGCAAATTAAGGACGAAAGAAAAACTTTAAATGAAAATAATAATGTAGGAATAAACATAATGAATATACAACAAACACGCTTATTTATTTTTAGGGTAACAGTACCAAGGAAATAGAAATATTTCGTTCTGTCTGTATAATACAGGCGTATACGTTATAACACTTCTCATTTATCTGAAAGATAGGCGCAAAAATCTTTGTCAACTTTCTATATTGAATTATTTATCATTACAAATGTATTTTAAAATAATACGACATTAATTAATAAAATAACAAATAGGTAACACATTTAGCAATTAGTTTATATACTTTTCTAATTATAAAGCGTCACAATAGCTGGTAATGAGTTTACTTTTTAAAAGCTTTTATTTTACCTTGCATGATTGTATATTTCTTAGGATTAAACCTTGCAACTAAATTTTAAAACAGTTATTCTCAACCGGTTGAGCTGAAATTTGCATACATGTTTATTTTGGATGACAATGCATAGTTAAGTAAGTGACGTTATTTTAATTCCAATATGGCGGATCACCCAAGATGGCGGACTAGTTATTTTCTATGCAATCCCATTATATGAGTATCAAAGGAAGATTTTGGGACAGCATGAGAGAGGTCTTGAATAAATGCTGAGAAAATGAACGGATCGTGATGGGACTTTAATGGATGGGTTGGAGTAAAGCGTGATGGGTATGAAGTAGTTCTGGATACGTTTGGGGACGAGAGAGTGAATGACAATGGGAGAAGCCTGCTTGAAGTATGCTTGGAATGGAATCTGTGCGTGGCCAACACAATGTTTGACCACAAAAAGATCCACTTGTATACAAGAGTTGAGGATGAGTCTAGAAGTATGATTGATTTTATAATTGTGGATGAAAGACTGAGGAAGAAAGTGCTAGACACTCGGGCATACCAAGGTGTAGGCCTCAACACAGACCACTTCCTGGTCATAGCCCGAATGCGTGGCCTCTTTAAACGGCGACGACACGGGGGGCCGAGCCTACGAGTGTTTTGGACAGAGTAAAAGTGGAAAATCTACAAGAAAAAGAAAAGAAAGACTAGTATGTAGAGAAACTGAAAGAAAGTTTTAAAGGGATAGAAGAGATAGGTGTGATTAAAGATTTGTGGGAGACATTTAAGAAAGGGTCGTGAATGTTGCTATTGAGGTATGCAGGGTAGTGAAAAGAAGGAAAGGAAGAAAGAACGAAAACTTGTGGATGGATAATGATACATAAAGGGTTGTGCAAGAAAAGAAGAAAGCGTGATTGGATTGGTTAGCAACAAAAGCTAACCAAAAAGTTCAAAAGGAAACGGATGACGAGATAAAGGAAGCAAGAAGGAAGTATAAAAGATTGAAAACAGCAGCGAAAGAATTTGTGTCTAGAAAGAAAGAAGAACGAAAGGATAATTTCGATAGGAGACTCACTGAAGATTTCCAGTCAAATATTAAGTTTTTCTGGAAATCCATCAAAACAGCCAGAGGAAAAACTTCTACCTCGGAGCTGAGTACAATCAGGAGTCAAGATGGGAGCATTATAAAAGGAAAAGAATGTGTGTTGAAGAGATGGAAAGAGTATTTTGATAGTTTGTTTGAAAGAGAGGAAGTGCAGGTACAGCATCCGGCACCTTCCATGGAAACTAATATAAATGTTGATGAAAGTGAGATAAGCATGGATGAAATAGTGAAAGCGTTAAAAAGTATAAGATTAGATAAGGCTGCAGGGTATGATAGGATTACCATCGAGATGCTGAGGGCTGGACAGGGCATAGTGGCTAGTCAGCTGTACCGCCTTTTCAATTTGTGCTGGCAAAATGGGCAAGTACCGGGAGACTGGTGCAAAGCCGTAATCACGCCATTGTATAAGGGAAAAGGGTCACAGCAGGACTGCATAAATTACCGCGGTATAAGCCTTCTCAGCGTCGTCGGTAAACTGTATGCGAAAGTGTTGATTGAAAAGGTTGTGAATGAAATAGACGAAAAAGTATGGGATGCACAAGCGGGATTAAGAAAGGGAATGGGATGTACGGATCAGGTCTTTTCCTTGCGATGCATAGCCGAAAAGTGTTTGGCTAAAAACAAGAAGGTTTATTGCGCTTTCGTGGATCTAGAAAAGGCCTATGATAGAGTGGTGAGGAATTAATTGTGGTTAGCACTGTCCGAGAACGGTGTGAGCAGTATCCTCATATGAGCATTGCAATCTCTTTATAGGGATTCTAGTGTTTGTGTAAGGATAAACGGGGCATACACTGAATGGCTTAATATCGAAAAAGGTGTTAGACAGGGATGTATATCGTCACCGTGGCTGTTTAATCTGTTCATGGACAATTGTTTGACAGATTTAAAAGAGAATGAAAGTGGGTTGAAAATAAATGAGTTACTCGTCAAATGTTCGCTGATGACCAAGTATTACTTGCGTCTTCGGCCGAGGAGTTGCAGGAGATGGTACAAGAGATGTATGTACGGAAGTGAAAGTTGGGTATGGCAGAAGAAACATGAAAGCAGAATAAATGCAGTCGAGATGAGAGCGTTAAGAAGTATGATAGAGTGACAGGATAAGAAATAGTGAGATAAGGAAACGTTGTGGTCTGAAAGAAGATGTTGTGACAAAAATTGAATATGAAGATGGTTTGGCCATGTCGAGAGAATGAATGAAGAATGATTGACGAAAAAAGTATATAAGGCGAGTGTGAATGAAAGTGTTGGAAGGGGTAGACCTAGGCGGACGTTTCAAGACCAAATCAGGGACGTCTTGAAAAAAGGTCAAGAGTAACCTAAACCGTAGAGCATGTATTAAGGAAATAATGAAAGTGTACGAAGCGAAACAAGTACGTAAGGATCGTAGCAAGTGGAAAGAAGTGGTCTCTGCCTACCCCTACGGGAAAGAGGCGTGATTATATGTATGTATGCAAATGAAGGGGTTTGCTAAGAAAGATACGAAAATAAATGACGTCACTCAAATTCTGTGTCTGTGTCTAAATTCACTCTAAATGGTGGACACCCAACGATGGCGGACTACGTTTTTTTGTACATCAATTGATCAAAACCAACAATGACGCATTAAAAGAAATCAAGACTTAGAAACTTGTCCAGCAATAACTAAAAAATAAAAAATAAATTAATAGTAAAAAAAACATTTTTAAAAACAAACTTATTTAAAAGCTCTGAAAAGATGAAAATAAAATTAAACTTAAATCAATGTGTGTGTGTGTGTGTGTGTGTGTGTGTGTGTGTGTGTGTGTGTGTGTGTGTGTGTGTGTTATTATATGACCTGCTTATGCTGTACCCATAAAACTTTTGGGCATAAGTAGATTTTGCTTGTATCGTTTCGCATACCTCATAATTCTCCTGGTTGTTGTTGTTGTTGTTGTTGTTGTAATTTAGTCGTGAAAACAGTGCAATTACGTTTTTTTTTGATTTTTTTTTGTTTTTATTTTTATATATAATTTCCGTTTTGTAAGCATGTTAGTTTCCCTGAATAAACTGGTGGTTGAGAAAAATGTTGGTTTATAAAGTACAACTTTCATAATCATTCTTTGAGCTCTTTCCAATCCAAGCAGTAATAACAAGCTCCCCAAACAGTAATAACGTGGGAAAATAGAAATTGGTTTAAGGATGTATAAACAGTTTTTATATGGTAAGATTTTGAAAATGTATATTAGTTTCCTGACTTTTTGGGTTAAATTTCTTATGTGTGTTTAAAATTTAAGATTCTTATCTATAGTACCTAAATATTATTTTTTTGTGTACTTATTATAATATTAATGCAGATGCAGTTTGAACTAGGAAATTGATAACTTGAATGAGCTATAAATTTATAATTGTTAATATATTGTGGTAATTTGCGAATCAAAAACGCAATATGTTTAGTTTTATCAACATTAAATAAAAGTGAATTTAAGTCTAGCTGGTAGTAAACAGTATCAAAACTTTCTTGTGTAATATTAAACACTTCTTCACATGAATCTCCATAAATAAGTTAGTATAGTGTTATCGGCATGCGATATTATTTTACGATTTGGTATAGTTAAGTTACAAAGCTCATTAACGTAGCATAAAAATAGAAAGAGACAGTATCAAACACTTTTTGTAGGCCAATAAAAATTATGAGATATTTTTTTTAATTATCCAAGTTCTTAACAATAAAACTAGTTAAGGTGTGTGCAGCATCAGTGGCTGATTTTCACTTTATAAAACCGTATTGAGCGTTTGAAATAATTTCAATTGTTTCAAGATTTTTAACGAGCTTCCAGTTATAATATTTTCCAAGATCATAGAGGTAGTATTGAAATAGGACGATAATATCAGATGCAGCCTTATTCGCTAGTTTTAAATATGGTAATGACTATAGATTTTTTTAGTGAAGGAGGAAAAATTTATTTTGATATACATAAATAAAAAATATGGGTAAGGGGGCGTACAATTCAGTATTTAAGAATTTTTAATACTCTAGCAGAGATTCCATCCCATCCTGTATCGCTGTCTAACTTAAAGCTTAAAGAATATCTTTCAATTTCGTCTTTACTATTGTTTAAGAGAACAAACGAATTACACCTTGATGTTCTTTTATTTTCATTTTGAGGAATTAAGGAAATATTTAGTGGAATTTTATTCGCTAATTCATCACCTATTTTGGTAAAGTATCCATTCACCGCGTTTACAATCTTAAGAGGACTTATTTTAGCTTTAAAAAGTTCCAGCGGTAAGTTTCAGGGTTGTCTAGATTATTTTATGGCACATCAATTTTTTATTATCACTACTACCTGCAATTTTTAATTTGTTGCTTTCACAATTTCTTTTACATTCTTTCTAATACCTTATAGGTACGTGATGCTTAGTATCACTATAATTATACGTTAATTTTTAATTTTTAGAGCATTTAACTAAAAGCTTGTTTTTCAAAAGGTTTTTTTTTCCTTCTAATTAATTTTTTTGAACATAACGCGGAATATTGCGTGTGTCTCAACACGCAATCTTATTTTTTTAATGTGGTAGTAAATCATCTAATTAAAATGATCATTTGGCTGCATAATTAAAAAAATAAACATATCAACAACGATTAATAAGAAATTCAACACAGATTTCATATCACAGTTAACTCTGATTTTTGAATTCAAACATAACAATAATAAGGTCACGTACAAATTTATTACGTTTCAAGACAAATGTATCGAAGATCATATTAGTTCAGATCGAAACCTACGTGAAACGAGCTACCGGGTCGTTCTGTACAGCCCAAATCAATGGGAAAACATAACGGTTCATTAGCCCAGCAATGCCGTCGGCCCTTAGTAAACATTTCACATTTTGTCTTACACCGTATTCACACATCGACGGCTCTATACCTTAGAAATACAAGAAAATATAAACCGATCGAACGATGTTGCTGCCGTTTATTTTGCTCAATTTGCTCTCAACATTTGCTGCCAGGGCAAATGAGCGACAAAGAAGGTACCTCGTTTATCCGGACGCTGGGCCGGCTCGTACTCAGGTATACTGTTTCTTTTTATTCTCTGAATGAATCCGTAAAAATTTACATAGCGTCGTTGATTTAAGCTTAATTATGTTTTCTGTGCACTCAGTAGCCGGCTTAACGAAGGAGTGCTATTTTGTATATTGGCGAATTCAAATACAAGTTAGAGCGACGTAGAAAATAATCATAGCCTTGGCTAATTCTTTAACGTTAGTTTATTTATTAACACAGATCGATTTTCATAAAAGTTTTCCGTAACCTTTACGTGAATAAAATAGAATAAATATGAAAAGCACACTTATTTATTTTTAGGCTAACAGTGCCATGGAAAAGAAAATATTTCGTCATATCCGTCTGTCTTTGTGTGTAACACAATCGCAGATCACTTTTATCAAAAAGATGGGAGCCAAAATTTTATCGACTTTCAATATTGTGTGTGGTATCATTACAAAGGTCTTTTAAAATAATTATACCACTTTTACAACATAGACAACAAACCACCCCTTATTTCAATTAGTTAATTCGTTTAATTTTAGATTTATAAAGAGTCACAATAGTTGGTAATGTTTTTATTTTAAAAGCTTTTATTTCACTTGCAATGTGTGTATATTTGCTAGGGTCAGGGTCAGTTATTCTCAACCGATTGAGTTGAAATTTTGCACACACGTTTAGTTTGGATGACAATTCATGGTTAGCTAAGTGACGTCATTCTAAATCTAATATGGCGGACAGCTAAAGATAGCGGATTAGTTATTTTCTACGTACTCCCTTGATATATATATATATATTAAATGAAAGTCTGCTGAGGAAATATGAAGATAAAATGACGTCACTCCATGTCCAATATGATGGACCCCAAAGATGGCGGACTATGTTGATTTTATGCACTCCCATTATATGAGTATCAAATGAATGAGTTTGCTAAGAAGAATACAAAAATAAATTGATTCACGCTAAATGCAATATCGGGGTGGACTCCCCGACAAGCTTTTATATCATATACTCGTAAATTGTGTAATGTAATAAATTAATGGGTTTGACTTAAAGCTTATTTTCTTCTTTTTAGAGCATTTAATTAGAAGCTTCTTTTTGAAAATGTTTTTTTTACTATTTATTTATTTTGAATGATTCGAATAAAAGTCTTTAGGAAATATCATCTGTACTGCGCAATTTCACAACACGCAATGGGTATTTTTAATGTAGCAATAAATCATAAAATATAAATATTCATATGGGTGTTAAAAAATATATACCGGTTACCTACATTTAATTAAATAATTGATCAAGTCTTACATAAATATGAAAAACTCACGAAAATATATCCTATAAGACCTTTATATGGCTCAGCATCTCTTAATCAATTTATGAGGTGAAATGCGGGCATATATTCTCGTACGCTGCTATCGCAAAGGAAAATATTTATTGGGTTAATGACTATTGTTTGGTAGTTGAGTGAATTATGCTGTTCAGCGGTTTTAATCCCGCCTAACTAAAACCATAGTTCACGTCGTGCTGATGAAAGAATCAACGCTGCATTCGCTCTGCAAAAACTTGGCAGAAATAAGTTAAGTGCAGTAATCCAGCTTGTACACCAGACATTCAAAAACTTTTTGTCCGATTTTTGTTCTATAACTTCCAGCCTCCAATGCTTTGGTCCGCTGAGATACAATTTCTGTAGTAAAGGAAATTTCATGTTATTTGATAAAGTTTAAAATTGTTAATGATTCAATTAAATACTATTGAAATTAGTTTTATTTGTTTCAATATGTTGCTAATCGAATACGCGTTTAACACATGCTTTCCCTGTACTAGTCTCTTAATTAATAATTGCACAACCATCTGACTAATTACTTTAGAATTCTTGTTATGGGTAAAAGCATAAATTAAATATTAAGGGCGAAACCATTCTGTCCACTAAGCGAGGTGATCATGGGAAATTCACCGTACTGATGAAGTCTATTTAGCCGTGGCTTGTGACCTGTTGCAGGTTAATAGAAAAAGTAACTACAAACGAAAGAATTATTATTATCTGTGAATATTAAAAAAAATGGATCACAGAATTTTTTGTGTTTAGTTTTCTTACGTGGACTATAAAATGGAATAAAGCCGAGTAATGAATTATAAAATTTTGTGCTAAGCTTTATTTTCTTTTATTATTTATCTTACTCCATCCACTCATTTGTTCTCTTATCTTACTCCATCGGAAGGGCTTATTAGAAAAAAGAAAGAGATGAAACAAAGAAGCTACACTAAAAAGAGACAAATATATATATAAATATACGATTAAGCCTGCGAGAGAATGGGATAGAATACAGTGTAGACCGCGAACTCAAAGGGTTGTGGTTTCGCTTTCCTACTGTCTTTTTTAGTGCTTTAAAATTATTAAATACCAAATTAATAAATTTATTAAATAAATAAAATAACCACATTGAATTACACCAATCCATTTATATCAATCCACGATTTCATTAATCCATGCAATCTAGCGTCTATTGTAAGTATCACCTTGAGAGTCAATCAAATTTTGTTAGATAAAAAGGCCGTCTAATTCATCTTATAGGTAAATAAGATGAAGTAGACGGTGCTATTACATAACAATTTTACTCAAAAAATATTCTTTTGATTTATTACATTAAAATTAAGTCTATAATAAGGGTTGTATTTGTTATAAAATATAATTTTTATCTTATATTTCGGGCCGCACTTTTCGTTGAAAATGATCATTTTAAATAAATCATTTGCCGTGAAATATACTTATTTTATTTTTCAATTTATTTGAAGGTTCACTTTTGGCTCGTGGGAACTGTAAACATGGTTTTTGTCATACTACGCCTCAGAAAATTTATCATATCCATATTTCTGGCAAATCCATTAATTGGCTTTTATTTTTTGCAAATAATCCTTTGATTTTGTAAATTTTGTAAAAATATTTCACTTCATATTTCAGTTTATCATTGGCCTTGGAGTTCCTGTAGATTTAAAGGATGCATCTGTAACTGTTGGCACCGTCATAAAGTTTCAATACGATTTACCAACAAACAGTACCGAATACACAAGTAGAATCTATGGGTTTGCTAATACAGTTTCCAGAGATATGGATGGCGAAACAAAAGATGAAGCAAACGAAGTGGACGCTAAGAGTATAGATAAAAAAGACGATCTAGGAAATGATTTATCCGATAATGATAACAATACACTCGTAGATATAACATTCGAAGATAGAAAGAAACGATCAATTATGTTTTCTGAAGGAGGATTAATAAATGGTGTTGATAAACCGATTGAAAATTCTAAATTATCGCTAGAAGAAGCTATAAAGCGTCAAGAAATGATTGATCAAAAACATCGAGAGAAAGAGCAGGAGCCACAAAGAATGAATAGATGGGACTTTTATAAAATTATAGAACACATGGCTGAAAGGTATATAATTTGGCTATTTTGATACTAAATATTTTATTGCACTCAGGAAGCATATTGTTGATTTTTAAAATAAGCTCAAAGTTTCAAATCCAGTAAGTATATATTATTATTCAAATCCTAAAATTACATGAAAAACTTGCTATTCTCTGTCGACTTCCAAAAAGGAGACGGTACTCAATTCGACTGTATGTTTTTTTATGTGTGTTACCTCATAACTTTTTACTGCGTGAACCGATTTCGATGATTCTTTTTTTATTTGAAAGCTGGTACTTCTCGTGTTGTTCCATATGAATTTGATCAAGGTCGGAAAATAGTTTTTGAGTTAATCTTAATAACTTATATTGAAGTCGGCAGTACACAATTTTTAATTTTTAATTATTATTCTACTTTTGTCTTGGTTTATAATAATATATTTCGTAGAATTAATGGTTACAGTCTATCACACTGAACCTACTTCTTGGATTTATATACAAAATAATGTATGTGAACGAGACGATATTTACATTTAAAACTCGGGAACATTAATAATAAAGAATCATGTAGGCACATAAACATATTCTATAACGGTTCGAGCAATAAGGGTTACCATCTTATGAGAAGATTAAAATATCTCTCCGTAATAACAAAATTTGTTAAATCAATATTGCAATGTCATGTCAATGTCAATATCAATGATAAGTGATAATTCAAAAAAATATTAAAAAAATGTAGTTTAAAAATATTTTTTGAACAAAATTAGAGCATTTTGAAAATATTCAAAGATGCGTGAAAGTTGCTAACATGCATTAGGGAAGCAGCGTGGTTTTTTTCTTGTTTTAATGTTTTCCTATTTTTTTATTTCCTATTAGTTTCCTATTTTTTTTCGAAGAAGAGGTGGCAAACGAGCATGCGGCTCACTTGATGGTAAATGTTGACTGCCACCAAAAGATATGTGGGACAACTATTACATAAGGATTCCAAACAGCTCAGTTCCCGAGGTTCTCTAAAGTACCCGAATCAACAACCCGAATGATCAACGTTTGAGAATTAATAAAAAGTTAAAATTAAACACGTTAAAGAAAACTTTATTTATTTCCAATATTACGTTTTTATATTACCTTTCTTATGTAGTTGAAGTTGGAATTATTCCTATTTATATTAATGATAAAACGTTTGTCGCTCTGTTGTATATAGCAATTATAATGTTCGAGAAGCCTTTTATGTTAAAGGTTTAATTTATTTGTTTAATGATTTACTATTCAGCTGCTTAGAATCCACCGCTGAACTAAATATAGGACTCTCCAATGAAGTGCCACCCGGAATATAGTTTATGAAAGATTTGCCCAACTTGCCCATACTCCCTTCAAGTGGTGACAATAATAATATGTGCCACAAGTTTTACTTGATTACCGCATGGTGAAGCATTTTAGACGCGTTTTTAATAGGGCGTTGCATTAATTTTATTATTATTAAATTACAAAAACTCTAATTTCTCTATTTCTATAAATATGGTTAGCCTACACTGAAGCAAACTATGAAATTTCCCAGATATGGCTATTCGGGAAGGCCGTGCCTGCTCCGTACAATCTGCGAGGCAGCCGAGGTTCCTTTCACACACGAAAACGGTTTGCTTGGAGAAATTGGCCATATATTATTCACGTAAGTACCTACCTGCAAAGGTAACTGAACAAGTAGAAAACCGAATTAAATTGTAAACTGCCTTTTGCTTGAATGCTTTTGTATTTTTGTTTGTTCCTAATAAAAGCAATAAAAAAGAATGTATTGATCAGAAGTTATTTTTTAATGTTTTAACTAATTAAATTACCACTTTTTATCCATTAATTTGATGGTATTTATATATTTTATACGTTGCAGAGCCATGCTGTAGCTATATTACGGTTGCAACACGAATGGCTCGGTTTGACCAAGGAAGGACCATGCTATCACATAATTCCAGTCTAAAATACTCTTTGAGACTCTTTTTACTGAAAACGAGGCATTCCATCTTAGTCCTGAGCGGTGACAATGCATCTGCATTTTGATTATTAACCGAGGATAAAAGTAAATGTCTATGGGCCACAACATCCACTTGTCTACCGGGTAGAATATTGTGCTCGTTTGTCAAACTTATTAAATAAAAATTAAAAAAAATAAGAAGTATAAATTTAAATTTAAAGATATGCCTTTATGATCACGCTTGTCAGTTGGATTGATGGTCCACACAGTAGTCCGATACGAGCGAAGAGACATCAGGCGGGGGTGATATTGGAAAAAACCCGTCCAATTCCTGGTTTCGGGCTCCTATTAAGAATTCTTGAAAGGATAAACCCAGAAGTAAATTGGGTTGACTCGGGATCGAACTGGGGACCTCATGCCGAGCAGTAGCGCCAATTACTACTAGACAATTGAGACAGTCAATTATTATATAGATATTATGTAATATAAATATTGATTAGTAAGCTGAAGTAGTACTATTAAAGGTCACACAGTGCTTGGAATTGCTTAGAATCGATGAATGCTGGTGGCTCAAAACTTTGATATAATATATTTTTTGAAGAAATCTACTTTCAGCATGAGACGTAGAATGGTCTGTAATAATAAATATGATAAATCCTAACCATATGTTCTACAGCGTAACCAAATAATGTCAGAATGGCTAATAATGTCAGGTTCCAACATGGCTTCGATTCATTCCAGAATTTTGACAAATGTATAAAGAATAGATCGGAAAGTGTCTCTGACACTAAATTCTAACCTACCTCTGATCTTTTAGCCTATCTCATGAACACGGGTAGATTTGGAGAGGCGTACTTAAAAGCTTATTAGTGACTTTGATTTAGTTGAGACCAATCTTTTCGACTATAGCTCAGGCACAGAGTAGCCAGCCTCTCAGTGTTCTATAAGATACAAAATATAAATAATCTGGGGGCACGGCAGTGCCCTCGCCAAGTCGAGCAAAACAGCGGCACGGCCGTGCCATCCTTTTCTCGAAGCAGTTCAGGCCATTTTCGAAACACTATAACTTCGTTGTGGATTAAGCTAGAAGCTTGAAATGAAATAACTAAGTAGGCATTATATAAACTCAGTATATTTCAAATTTCAATAAATTTAAATCAGTAGTTTAAGAATTATCACTAGTCAAAGTTTCTTAATTTTGTCACTCACTGACTGACCGATCATCAAAACTCTAAGGCACTTCTAGCAGACAGAGAAGCTTCAAATTTGGAATACAATTATTGTTTAGTATATATATCAAGGAAAAATTAAAATATTTTGCAATATCAGTCCAGTTTTCGAGACACACCAACTGCATAAATAACTTTGTAATCTCATATAAATATCTAGGATTACACAGTTACATTTGCAGTGAATGAATCTGTGCACCTCTATATGTATAATACAATGGAATAATAGATGTAGATAGGTACCAAGATATAATTATGTTTAAAGGTAACTTGTAAAATGGTTAACAAAATGAATGATCTCTCAACTTTTTACGGTAGAAGAACTGAGTTGCGAGACTTTACAAGTTATGTTTGTGATGGCATCTTAAAGCTTCTTATTTGTCAATTCAAATTCTTATTTCTTTCTTTACATATTATTGTTTAAAGGATTTGATTCCTCTCCTCCATTCCCATTATAGTCCAATCAGACGATAGGCGGTTTTTCCCACATTTTCTGTTGATATTTCACGTATTTGAACAAAACGTTTTGCTTCATTTTTAGTAACGCGTATAAAAAAACTGGCTAAGTAGAAGACGAATTTTACTTTTTATTAAAAGATTTTTTTTTCATCAAAATAAGTAAACTAAGGCATATTATACAATCTCAAGGTAACAAGAGTAGAATGTAGTCTAAATACATTAAACACGTTACATACAAAGTAACCGTCTAAGGCGAGTCGGACTCGCGCATGAAGGGTTCCGTACCAACACGCACGTTTCTAGTAGGGTATCCCCCTTTCATTTATAATTTATTTTTATTTTTATTATTTGTTATTATAACGGCAACAGAAATACACGTTATGTGAAAATTTCAACTGTCTACCTATTACGTATCATGAGATACAGCCCGCTGACGGGCAGACGGACGGACAGGGAGGTTTAGTAATAGAGTCCCGTTTGTTCCCTTTGGGTACGGAACCCTAAAAAGGAGTGGAAAATTTGCCGGTGTCTGACTTTCCGGGCGATTATAATCTGGGTGTCTTCGAGACAAAAATGATTAGGCTTTTGTAACGCTATGACATGCTATTTACCTTATACGGCTTTATCACTGGTTATTACTAATTGGGGCTGCAGTCAAGCGTTGTTCTAATATAAGTTTTATTTATAGAATAAGGGTGCACACAGTCCACCTGATGGTAAGTGTATGCTGAGGCCCATAGACATCTACATTTATCTTCGATTAAAAATCAAAATGCATATGTGGTTGTCACCCCTGAGGACTATGAGCATCGTTTCTTACTGGAAAAAGGTGAAGGGGTTCTCTAGACTTAACACACGAAACACAGTTGCAACACAGCATTAATCTGCTATTTTACGCTGGTATTCCGTGAGAGCGTTGCGCTATCTCATTAAAACCAACTCGTTCGTGCTACAACCATAATATAGCTGCGGTATGACTCTGCTACGTATGAAAAGTAAGGAGGAACGGGTGTTCTTTGTTAGTTCTTAGTTAGTAATATTGTAACGACATGATACTTTTTGCCCATTTAAAAGCTTTGAAAATTATTTGTACGTACGTACAATTACATTATAATCAATACATTTAATTCTGACAATGTATTTCAGACCATCCACAACGAAGGATCCGTTGTCACACCATACTGACAACGAATATCATGCTGCTGAGAGACTGGGAAGAGAAGCAGAAGGAGATTGCGAGACGCTCTTTCCGGAATGCGAGAGCTCAATTTTAAGCACCTTCAGTGAAATTGGAATGGAAACTTTACAAAAATTTGGACTGATTTGAATAATTTTTTTTTTTTGATTTACGTTCGTTTACTCTTAAGTTTTGCTTTTTTTTTATAGTATAGGTGACAAACGAGCACACAGTCCACCTGATGGTAAGTGGTTGCTGTGGCCCGTAGATAACTACATTTATCTTCGTTTGCGAATCAAAATGCAGATGCGTTGCCACCCGTGAGGACTAAGATGGAATACCTCGTTTCCAGTAAAAAGGATCTCCGGTTCTCTACACTCACCATACGAAACACAGCAGTGTTGAGCTGCTATTTGACGCTGGTATTCTGTGAGAGCGTGGTCATTTCCCGGTTGAGCTGACCCATTCGTGCTACAAATATACTACTAATATAGCTGCAGCATGGCTCTACCACGTATACTTCAATCGTTTCTTAAGCAAGTAATAAAATAAATTCATATTGTTAATGTTTCGGAATTTTTCCTTGTGCTTAAGAAGTCATATTGATAGTGAACTGCTTCGATTATAATATTATGCGACTCATTAACATAAGTAACTACCAAGCAGTAGAGCAGTATTACTGAAAATTGAGAATTGCCATGTTTAGGTCTAAAGGTGGGAGAGCCGTTGTAGTTGCACGCTATGTATAAGTAATATATAATATAATATTTGATAATATATATAAAATTTTAATTTAAATATATTATTAAACCATTTGTAATCTTTTTCATATATAAAATAAAAATAAAATAAAAATGAGCAAAATTTAAGCTTTTGGGTTCATACCCCAAATATAAAGGAAACTACTTTTTTTTTAAAATAAAGTGCCTGAATAAAGTGCCTCTTCTGATACAATAAATTAAGTAGATTTCTACCTTTATTATATTTTATAGAATTAAACTATACTATACATATATATTATGTATACACACACACACACATATATATATATATATATATATATATATATATATATATATATATATATATATATATATATATATATATATATATCAAAAACTATTGTGCATCTTACACTAAAATATAAATATATTGAATTTACAAAACTAACCCCTATTTTAGATGATTTTTTAATTTAAATTCAATTAAAATTTTTTTTTTATTCTTTCTTTTAGAACTTAATTACTATTTCAGCTTATTCTTGATTAGGATTTTGAATTGGATTAGAAATCAATTTATTAAGATTTATCCCACTAATTTCCAATTCTAAAAGAAGCTGCCCTAAAATTTTTCTTACTCAATCAATTGCATCTATTATTTTATTTTATTTTATTAGAAATAATTTTATTAAAAAATTAAATTAATAATTTATTTTCCATTTCAATTGATTCCCCCACATTAATAAAAATAGGATCAATCCCCTTTCACTTTTGATTCCCTAATATTGTTGAACGTTTATCTTGATTTAATTGTTTTATTTTATTAACTTGACAAAAGAATCCCCAATAATTTTATTGCCATATTATATAAATAACATTTTTTTTTGTATTTGTTATAATTTTATTATTTATTATAATATTGGGTGGACATTTGTTGGTTTTTGTTACATTACTGCATATATTAGAAAAAAAAATATTAAAATTCAAATGGTGGAGGACACTTTTCCTGCCTTGGAGTTCTCAGAGGTATCATCTCTACCCATCTTTGCTTAAAGGTGACTGCAGGTGCAGATGGCCTGCAGTAGCCACTTAATATAAGCTTTAATTTGTTCAATATTATGGAGATCTGCAACCAAGTCTAAAAATTTAAAATATAGATGTTTTACCTTTTCCATTCCATACCACTAGTTCCAATGAAATGTTTAACATGCTGTAAAAATAAATTGGCGTCTAGATTGGAATACAGCAGTAGATACACTAATGATCGGTGAAAGAATCATACCAGCTCACTACAACCTCAAGTCGTAAATATTTAAGACATGGTAGAGCCTCATTGTCGCTTTATAGCTGTAGTACCAATGGATTGGATTGGAATTCAACTAAAACTATTGGAACCATCCTCCAGGAAATTACTTTTGTAGATTTTATATTACTAGAAGACCATAAAAATTACTAAGCATACCTTTATGGTAAGTGGCGACTAGTTGCGACTTGACTTACAAGTACTGCCGTGATTTGATAAATTATTCAGTTTCCTGAATTATTATTAGCAAACATTATTTATTTTCCTGGAATATCATAACTATTTTATTTTTACAGAGAACTAGATTAAAAAGCCGTGGTACTTTAAGGGCTAAGAGCTAGCTCTAAATAGCTATTGTATACGAATTAAATATCAAAACAAAAAGATCCAATTAACTGCTCAGATGGTTAGCGTTCGCTGTAAATTTCACAGTACACGAGCCACCTGGGTTCAATCCCCACCGGCGCCAATGATATTGTTAATTGCAATTTTAAGTCTTTTTTTACCATGTGCTCAATGTTGAAGGGAAACATCGCATCGTAAGGAAACCTGCATGTATGGAAAATTAAAGAAAAATATTTCGAAGACTTGTGAATTCTACGTGCATTAGGGCAGCGTGGTGGTCACTTCTTTGCCATAAACCTTTTTAGAAATGAGGGTAGGCTTGTGCCTAAAACTGGGACGCATATAGTCTGTAATTTTATTTTAGCCAAGATTAAAAAATGGACTTACGTGTTTCGGATTAAAATAGGTCGATGTTGTCGACGATAATTTCTTTCTAATTTGTTAAAGAAAGCGAAATAGGAATCTCTCCCAGAGAAAACATGTTTATATAATAGCCAAGCTTGGAAGTCGAATTGAAGATGATATTACCAGACGTTTTATTGTCGTTTAATGTTTAATTTTGAAGTTATTGCGTGTTAGCGGAATTCACATGTTCTCTATATATTTTATTCCTCAAACATGTAGGTTTTCTCACAAAGTTTTCTTTCACCACCGAGCATTGGGTTGATTAGCACTTAAATTGTAATTTACGATTTCATTTTTGCAGGCGGGGATTGAACCCGGTTTGCTTACGTATTGTGAAATTTACAGCGAGCGTTTATCTCCTGAGCTACTCGGGTTTTACAATATTTCTTTAAAGTTTTAGGGATTTTTAGAAGCTTACTTTTATTTATTTAAGTAACTTCCTTCCTACCCTTGGTGAATTTCGGATGAGCGAAGCCGTGTGCAAATTAGTTTTGACGTAAGCTTGACATATTTGCCGTGCGAACTATGAAAATATATCAGAAAGTCATTTTCGCTGAAATTCCTTTCTGTCAATACATGTTTTCTCGCGGTGTGTTATAATTTATTGTTGTTTACGTGAAAAACAAAGCTCGTAAAACTGTTGAAACTTAGTTGTTAGATGTCGGAAGTATACCGAAATAATTTTAGATGTATTAAATTATGGGTCATTAATATCACAATCGTAGTCGCGATTGATTTTTATAAATAAAGTTTCGAAGTGAAACTTCTTTATCGACGTAGTGGAGAAATTTAGTACGGTAATAAAAACGCCGCCCAAGTGCGAGTCGGACTCGCGCACGAAGGGTTCTTTACCATCGTAAAACACGTTTCTAGTAAAGCTCCCTTTAATTTTTAATTTATTTTAATTTCCTTATTTATTGTTACAGCAGCAATATAAATACACATATTGTGAAAATTTCAACTGTCTTCCTATTACGGATCATGAGATACAGCCCGTCGATAGACAGACGGACAGACGGACGGATGAACGGACAGCGGAGGCTTTGTAATACGGTCCCATTGGTTACCCTTTGCGTAAAGAACCCTAAAAACGAAAAGGATAGGTTTCTTCTAACTTTTCATCGCTGGGACTCCATGAGTATACTATTTAAGCTACTCAAGTAAAATATGAAATATAAGAAGAATGATATGACGGACCCGTGTAACGGCGGGTAACCCACTACCCCATATCTTCCCGTAGGTGTCGTAAGAGGCAACAGAGGGAAAGTGAGGCAGAAGATTTGCAAGCATCTTTCTGATAACAACAAAACAAGAATGAAAAAACTGCCCTTGCAAAGCCGCTCGCCAAGCGTGGCAACTATGGCAATATGATTAAAGTTGCGAAGAGACGGCCCCCAGTCCCCGGCGGCCCCACTATTCCAGACTACGGTGGCAACCATGGTAACGGTGGGGCAGGGGGTGCTAAGAATCTCCGGTGGAGGTTCGGTTGTCACATAAGACGACTCGACCTGACAACGTATAACGCACGTACCCTGAGGACTGTCGAGAAGAAATGGAAGAAGAGATAGATAACTTGTGCTGGAATATTATAGGATTATCTGAGGTCCGTAGAAAGGGAGGGGACATGGTAATCCTCGAATCCGGCAACTTGTTCTATCAACAGGAGGGCGACCATCTGTCCCAAGGAGTTGTCGGATTTATCGTCCAAAAGCCTCTCGTTAACAACGTTGTAATGATTGAGAGTGTGTCGACGAGGGTTGCGTACCTTATACTCAGAATCACCAAACTGTATTCGCTAAAGGTCATACAGGTTTACGCGCCAACCTTGGCTTGGTTGGTGCGTGAACCTGTTGGTTGGTTGGATTCCGAGGAGGTGGAGGAAATGTATGAGGATATATCTGGAGCCATGCATTCCTCTAAAACCCACTATAAGGTGTTAATGGGAGACTTCAACGCAAAAGTAGGCACAAGAGAGAATGGTGAGCTGAAAGTAGGGAAATTCGGAATAGGGAAATGAAACCCAAGGGGCCAGAAGCTGGCCGACCATGGAGAAAGCGGGGTTCTTTATGATGAACTCTTAATTCCAGAAGTGCCCCACAGGAAGTGCTCGAGCTCCGAAGGTTCGACAAAAAGTGAGATTTACTTGTGAAGGGCTGTAATGATAATGATGGTGATTATATGTCGGAAAGAAGATTCACTTCATACGTGTGTACACAATTACACGCACATTTTTTTTCTTTGCTGTCCTGCTTGTCATTTACGCTAGACGTCAAAGGTTGCTTTTGTATAATTGCTCATGTTTGGCATAATTAGAATGCTTGGAAGTTGAATTTGCGACATAGATAGTGTGACGATCTAGTAAAATAAGCAAAAAATCG